TGCCTCGCCATCGTCCTGTCCCGCCTTTTTACGCTTTCCCAGCGATTTCATGGCCTCGTCGCGGATTGTCGCGGCCATGGCATCCACCCGGTCTGCTTCCTGCTGCACTTCCTCCAGCCGCACCTTCTCTTCGTTTTTCCAGTCGTCAAACGCAGACAATAAGTCGTCCAGGAGCTGGAACTTCTCACCGTAACCCTCGTCGGTGCCAGACGCGCGCTTTCCTTCTTCGTCTTTGTGTCGGTGTCCTTCGAGGAGCAGAGTGAAGCGGTTTTGGGCTCTCTTGCCATCGAAGCCCGGGCGGTCGAATCCGTCTTGGCTTTGAACGGCTTCTGCTACAGCAGACCAGCGCACCATGACCTGTCCACGTTTGGCCATGAAGGGCAGGCGTCCATTGATCTCACGGAGAAGAAGGATGTCTTCGTCCTCCGTGAAACGGCTCTTCGTCGGTGTGGACATGGTGGCAGGTGGCTCGTGCAAATGAATGGTATAGTGGCGTGGCGTTTATCCCTACACAGAGACAATTCCCGTGCAAAAGCATAAAGTATGGTGAGTTTTACTATTTGATCCCAGAGGTAAGTTCTTGTTTTGTCAAACACGTGGAATTGAAGTGCCGGGGGAGAGGCCGGACGGTTTGCAAAATCTCTCTATTAACTTATGAATGTTTACCATTTTAGGCAATTGTGGTGCGAAGAAAGTCTGGTCAGCGAACGACATCAAGATTGCCATCAAGGCCGTACCACACGAAGGTTGACAAACCCTCCGCTCAACGGCAGCGAAGTCGGGCATCCCCAAGAAGTCCAAGTCAAGTGAAACAACTCCTCACGGACGACAACAAGGCGGTGCGAACTCGGTTTGCTATGAGCTTCCTTTAACCCCGGTTACAGAAGGCCACGTCTTCGTCAACATGCACAATTATGTGCACGTTGATGAGAAGTGGTTTTTCATAACCACGGTCAAGAGAAGATTCTACCTCTACGACGAATTGCTAGCTGAGCGAGCCGCGAAGGTCATGTTTTTAGCGGCCGTTGCCCGCCCTCGTTACGACCCCCACAAGAAGAAAATGTTCGACGGCAAGATTGGCATTTGGCCGTTCGTTAAAAAGTTGGCCGCGCTGCGCATGAGCAAGAATCGCTTGAAAGGCGCCCTCGAGTTCAAGCCCCATAACGTGGATGCCAACGTGTACCAGCACATGATCATGAACGAGGTCGTGCCAGCGATCCAAGTCAAGATGCCAAGGGATCTGGCCATGAGGTTGCAGCAAGACAATGCAAGTCCCACAGGTGTGTGACGACCGAGCTGATTGCACGACATGGCGTTGACAGCATCGAAGTCACCAACCAGTCACCAAATAGCCCGAATTTTAATGTCCTAAACTTAGTTGTTTTTTAATTCTATTCAAAGTCTGCAGCAGCAAAAGGTCGCTCGGTCAATTGATAGCTGCTGTAGAAGAGGTGCTTTATGAATTGCCATTTGACATCCTGTGCAAGACGTTTATAACTTTGCAGAAAGTGATGGAGCTGTCGATGGGATGTAGTGGAGGCAACACATACACAATGCCCCACATGAGTAAGAACGCCAGAAATAAAGATCTAGCATCACTCGATGGTGAGTGTGATGAAACCATCTATGCTGGAGCACTTGATTCCTTAAATTGTCAAAATCAAGTATAAGTGATAATATATACGTTTCCAATGAAAATTTGGTCGGTATTTCAGGGCACTGGGCTCGAGGCATTGCACTCACGGCTCTGCGGCTCCCCATGGCACTCGCTACACCCTCCACCCCATCTCCGCCTCCACACGGCCTGACCATACGACAACACAATGAAATATAGACAAGTTCTGGCCAGCTCTGATCTTACCCAAGCCATGCGACGGTCATGGCTCGACCGCGACGCAACTCAGGCCTTCCTCATGGCAGAAAATACTGAATGCACCAACTCAGGGGACATCACCGGCCGCTGCCTCTGTCACATGCCCCAAGATCTAAACACATCGGCTCGCAACCTCCAGACTGCACTCAACGCAACCGCAACCCCCGCCTGGCGCCAGATGCTTTAGCACAACCAGGTGACACACAATGATTGGTTCCGTGACCACAGGTAGAAGCCCCTACGCTCTGCCCCATTCAACACATTTGCCGACGCCTTCACCTCATCTACTACGGACACCCACTGGTCCTTCATGCCCACATATGCTGCCACAACATACGACCAAGCACACTTCCCCTGTTTCTTTATGCTCAGCGTAGGCCTCGGCCTGCAGGCTACTACCACCATGCTAGACCCCCAAAGCCGAGAGTGGTTCCCTTCCCCTCCCCCCCGCGCCAACCTCCGGCGCCAGCTCCCCTTCGTCAAGTGCTTGTCTAACATCATCAGCGCTATCTACAACCCCCCGTCGACATCGACAGCAAGTACGCCGAACGACGCGCAGCCCTCTTTGCCGCCCTTCAGTCGCCCTACCACCCCGAGGCTTGGACCAACACATGGCACACCACCACCTCCCAGCCAGCCTCCAATGGTTTCAATACCGTTGGCACTAAGCATATCGGTTCAAACGTTCTGCAGCAGTGACCCTCTGCCCCTTCTGCGACGCCCCAGACGGACCGAGTCCCACCTTCTGGAGGTGCTCCCAGGCACAACAACTCTGGACCTCGCTGCTCTCTATCTGGTAGGAAGCAGCCAAGATCGAGCCATCGGACTTCATCACGAACGACCACCCCGCACGACTCCATGGATGTTGCACACACCCCACTGGACTTCACACGGGATGTCATTCAACAACGAGTGCCACCAAGACTGGCTACTCCTTCGGTCCCTCGTCCTTCGTCTTCTATGTACGGAACGATGCAACGCCGTCCACGCCACCCCTTCAGCTCCCCCTCCCCACCTGCGAGCCTGCCAAGCGTGGCCATAACGCATTTCCAAGCACTGGCCACGTACCACACCCACCGACAACATTCGCTACGGGCGGATGTCTACACGGCACTTTCAAGGCAATGCCGCCGTGCCACATTCGGCCATCCTTTCCTGCCGCCACAGCTCCCCCGGCAGGGACTACTCGTCTTCAATGGTGCGGCCACACCAGACATAGCATGTGGAGGCTTGGAGCGATTGCCATGCCTCTGAGTGTACCCCTACTGAGTGAATACGATGCTCGCTTTCTTTCCACCACCACCAACAACTCGGCCGAATATGACGGACTAATACGGGCTCTCTACCCTACCGTCTCCATGCGCTTCACCCATGTTGAAGTCTGTGGCGATAGCCAACTACTCATGAGCCAGATGCTGAAGTCCACTACCCCGGCTAGATCCTTGACGGACCACTTTCCCATATAGTTTTGCCTGTATAAACTAGTACAGTGATCCCTTAACGTTTGCTCGCTTTTCCAAATAAATTTTTTCCAAGTCAGCCTATTGTGCAAAGACACCACAAACATTAACTTTGAAGGGTGACTATCTGCTGGTCAATTAAGCAAAAGCTGAAGTGAATGGCCCAAGTTCCGAGATAGAACCCCTGTATGGGCCCAGCAGTTGCGAATGGTCGTTGATGTGACGCAATTCCAGGCGGAAACCGACCAATGCATTGTCGTGATGTGGACGGCATGACCAAATTTTTCGGCTGCCCATCGCTGCACTTGAGCTGGCTTGATCGGCATATTTGCCTTGAAGTACTCTCTAATCGAGTTCTTGTCGTGAATTGTCAACCTCTTGCTTTGCTTGCGCTTGTTTTGCATGCTCTCAAATGTCTTTGTGTGTGTATTTTCAATGTGAGGGGTTTGGCTCCTCAATTTTGAATTTTCAAACGATGCATGTATGTTATAAGGCCCCTATTAATAGTAAATTTATATCGAATAAAATTTAACGGAGTATAAATTTATACCAGGGAGCAAACGTGGAGGGGTCACTGTATAATAAACAACAACAAAAAACTTCTTACATCAGCATTGTCGATGTACAGGACGAGGACTGGCACCATGGTTACGGCAGGGATGTCTAGTCTGCCTTACTGTACTCGAGCAGAACCCAGATAATTCGATTATAGGGTTTACGTTACCTCTGTATATGCATATTCTTACCCATTTGACGATAACGTTACATTAATCAAGTCCGGTGAGTGATTTAAATTCTGCCCTGAGGAGCAATGTTATTTTGATGATAGTAGGAAATATCACTAGCAAAAGCACTCTACTAACGTGTGTGCTTACGTAGTGTGCACATTATCCAACAAACCTGTAATATCAATATGAGCAAGCAAAACACCGAATTCCCATCTTCTCATTGGTACAAATTTCGTAGAAATTGGGTAACAGTAAATGAGTCAAATTTTGAGGCGAGTCAAAGTTGAAACGTGGAGGTCATTTGGGACGTACTACTGGTACCGGACAGTGGTCGAAGTCCCACCCACTCGCTTTGTATTGCGGATTTCCTTGGTTCGTTCACTGTCAAAACAAGAATTTGGTAGGAACTCGCGCACAGTGGTATCGACATTATTTTTTTCCTAGGTGCATCCATAAATCCGGACGTCAACCAATAGTATTTTTTTCTTATTTAATATTTTAACCAATAGTATACTCATAAAAAGTTTGTAAATTGTATGATTGGATATAATAAAATTAATCAGATTGATCTGATTGCAAAATAATTCACACTGTGAATCACAACTTGCGCACTGGCATACAATTCCCCATATATTTCAAAATACCACTGTGCGCGAGTTCCTACTCGGTTCTCTGTACTTCGAAGTACTACAGAGGGTGGGACTTCGACCTTGTGAGTACTACAGAGGGTGGGTCTTTGACCTTGTGAGTGGAAACTACCATATGGGAAAACGTTCAATAAATTGTGATACCGCTCAGCCAAGACTGAAAACCGTTCAAGCAAATTTTCTTCCCGTAACCCTTTAACCCCGGGACTTCGTCCTTCCCCCGCGTGCACATACTGCTAAATCCCCTAGGATGAGTTGAGGTGATCAGAGTATAAAACATATGCCTCCTCTAACTAGAGTTTATTAGTTTACAATTGACCATGTGTTTCACTGTTGCTTCCATAAACATTTCACTTGTTCTTACTACAGTAGTACAGCTTACATAAACATTTCACTTCTTCTTATGAACTAACGTTAGGTGTAGTATTAAGCATACCCTGTGGAAGTCAAATGCAGTGTTAACCAACACACCACATTTCAGCTAACTTACTGGTAGTAGTACTGTAGGGGCGCACTTCACCCCAAGAATAGCAACACAAGGGGTCTGAGGGTTCCGAGGTTACAGGGCTACAGAACTGGTTCTTTTCAAGAGTAATGACTACATAAGCAATAGTGGTACACGTGATCTTTGCATGGGACACGTTTGTCAGGTTCGAATTCTTCAATTTTATCGTCAACGTTTTTGACGCAGTTATGCTTTCTTCGAGCAAATGAACCTCGGCAATTGTGTTGATGAACTATTTAAGTATGCTTCCAATGCCAAACCTCACAGTCTCCATCTATACCTACTATTAGTACCTACTACTAGTAGTTGCTTACAACGATATGTCCCACCTTCAGGAATAATGCGATCATTGTCAAGGCCATTTGGTCGAAATAGTCGTAGAAAAGTTTACACTTGGTGTTTGTATACTGGCCCGCCCAAGATATGCAACCAGCTGTCCGCTGTACATGTAGTATCCCCATGTACAATTCACAACGAATTACACCATCATCATGGGAAGGATGATATCCGTGGTCGTGGTGGGTGTACTGGCGGCGGCAGCGTCAAGCGCTCACGAAACCAGCCTCCCAGACTGCACCACGATGATCAACATCGCACCCCTTCTGTACAAGGACATCCTGGCGAACCATCAAGACGAGATCGGCAAGTGCTTGGGGTACTCCAAGTTCCATGCGGCCATTAAAGAAGACCGACGGCCCAACCGCGAAGAACTCGCGCTGTTCTTCGAAAGCAACGACTGCCGTGAAATCGTCCGCCTGTTGCTACGAAAGGTGGACGAAAACGGCAGCAGGTGCTCGCTGGGTACCCTCGGCACCTCGCTCGGACAGTTAGCCTCCCTTCCCTTTGAAGACCTCAAAGCCATCTACGCCCCGTTCCTTCGCGCGACTACACCTGCCCGATGATGATAATAAGTAGTGTGTGGGTTGTACTATATGGACATCATGGCTTTGATATGATAACAGCATTGTTATTACAGAGACATGAACAGTGTCGATTAGCATGTACAACAGGGTTTTGGCTGCGTCTCTGAAGTTTTCACATGATTTCATCACTCGGACATGGCTTCATCACTCGGACATGGCCTCATCACGTTGGTACGCGCCATACAAGTCCTTTAACTTGTCGAATGTGAGCGATGACAACACAGAGTTTTCCACCGAGTACGTGGCATTCACGCGAACGAGGCACATCGGTACCTTGGTCACGTACACGTCCAACACAGTCATGAAGAAGTCTCGGCAGGCGGTCGAGTTGAAGAACTTGGACACTTGGGTTGGCGTGGGGGGCAGCCGTGCACCCAACTGTACCTTTAAAGTGAACCCCGATTCCTTTCGACAGGCCTCGGTGCTGGCTTGTTCACTCAGCGGGTTAAAGAACGACTTCAATTTGGGCAGGTCCAGGCACCACGGCAGCGGGTCTGGCACGAGCTTTGGCGCAGGGATGACCGCGTACATGACGAGGGAGATCACTCCTGCCCAAATGGCAACGGGCAAGCCGTGATCGACCAAGAAGCGCATGATGAGATCGATCGATGGGTTCCTGGGAAGTGGTAAAGGTGACAATTGATCCGACGATGATAACATGTAGGGTACCTAAACTAGAAAATCTAAACAAACGTTATATGGATAATTGTAGGAACCCTGGATACGATGTTTGCATACTTGTACAAAGACAATGCCGTTTCCATAATATATGTGCCTTGACATGTATTGATTTCTTGACCACAGAACGATTGTAAAACAGGAGGTGGCAGGGCGTTCTACATGTGTGGCAAAGCATCGTCGAGAAATGGCAGAGGGCTGAATGAACAAGGCACTGCGAGAATCAGCTGGCTAACTTAACGTTACAGTTCATACAGCGAAAGCTGGCTCGATGTTGTCCAAATTGAATGCAAAAGTTCCGACCATGAATAGTACATTATTTAATTGTTTTACATTCAATATGGATCCTCGTTAGTATAGTGGTCAGTATACCTGCCTGTCACGCGGGTGACCCGGGTTCAATTCCCGGACGGGGAGATCTTTTTTCACTTTTTACTCCAGGTACTAACTACTTCAAGTACTACTATGTAGTGCGGCCATTAACGAGTCACGCGAACTGCAAATGAATGCTCTGCCGAAATGCTGCCAGTTCGAGTCGCAGAGTTTTGAAGTTGGCATTTACTACATGTACTACAGTATGTACTACTGTAGTTACTGTACAGTACAGTGTATTGACAGTGAACTCGTCACGTTACACTGTTTCAATAACGTTACTGTAGTACTTCTTGAACTTGTCACGCGTTACACTGTATAAAAGTAAAACTCCGTTTGGGTACAAATATGCAATTATGCACCGCGGTAGGGAGTTACATAATAGTAAATCCGTTGGTTAACTACAATTGCGTCATTTCTCCGTTCGGGAAGTCACGATTGTATTAATTTAAATGCACGTAGCGACGAGCTAATAAAATGATTCGATGTCCTTTTAGGAGGCAGTTTAGTAGCGACCCCAAAACTCGCAAGCACCGCATCCTAACTCGGTTCAAGTGTCGCCGGTACGCGACATCCACAATCATCACCATCAGGAAGTCGACTGGCATACATATTTTAAGCTTAAACCGTGCTACCAAAACCTTGCCCAACACGTGAACTCTGCGCACCGAAACTTCTTCGCCACCGTGCTGGCGATACAAGTCCGGACGAAGAGGTTGAAGGGGGTGACGATGACGAGTTCGATGAGTTCGAATATTAATAGTTTAAAACGTTACCATTTGTTTGAAAATATTCATCTTAAAAATATATACATTTTCCGGAAAAACTTGGCGCACCCCGGGAATTGAACCTAGGGCCCATCCACCACCGCCTGATCGGCAAACCGACATGCTACGCGCCAATGCCTTGGCTTGTTACTTTGGCCATCGTTTAGGTCAGAATTTTCGAAAATATGGACAATAATTGGTCCGAGTCAGAAATATTGAATTTTTCGGTTGTTCAAGTTTCAATAAAATTGTATGAATTGTTCTTCCAAACGACAATATATTGAAATTATATATTGATAAGCTAAAATTAATTTAAATATATTTTTCCCCAGCCCTGGCTACTAGTACTTACCGAACAAAGAAATGTCGCATTGGAACTTACAGTACGCCGGAGTAATAGTAGTTACTCACCCGTATTTACACAATTCATGCCACTTCAACTCAACTTTGCATTGAACGGTGCTTTTGCCATGCAGTCAGTTGTACCCGATTTACACAATTGCTGCCACTTTGTGTCGGCCAAAGTTAACGTACAATCCATCGCCATATGGATTTCAACCAATCAAACGCGATAAATACCAATTCACGATGTTTGATTGGTCCACTCCACGCCTTATTGCTGGCGTCTGCCGTCGTCGTAATCGAGCGATTGTCGAACGAGGCACGAGGCGCATGGCCGATCTGACCTGCATCGATCACGGGTGGCACGGCATTGGAGCCTTCTTCGTGGATGGGTCGGGCAAGATGGGCTGCCGCCTCGGCTCACGGAAACAGCCTTGGTACTGGGAGGACTACTGCGAATGGGGTTTCGACGACATGGAGGAGTGCGAAGACGACAAGGCTGACGGGAACGTGCGCCGTGGCGTGTTTAACCCGCCGTATGATGCGTTTCAACAGAGCGTGCTGAACCGGCTCAAACGACCGCCGGCTCCCACAGCTCCATCTTCGACCCCACCACCGCCGTCCACGCCGACGACGACGTCGCCACCTCCAACATTACCGCCTCAAACACTTCCGCCATCGGATAATCCATCCAACAGCCCCCTGACAACAACGCCTTCTTCACCAGTAACGTCTCCTCCCACGACCACCTCCCCGCCGACATATTCGACATCATCTCCGCCGCCGCCGCCACCTACTGGCGACATCATCCCTACCACCACGAGTCCATCATCCCCCCATCCAGCGTCGTCCACTCCATCTCCCACCGTGCAATTCGCGACCGTTCTCGACGTCCCTAGCGCCAAAGCTTCCTCGGGCTGGTCTTGCGTGAACCAGTCATCTTCGTTTGTTCCTGTTCGATTGGATTCGATTTCGGGCAAAATCGAGTGCTTGACATACATTTCCACCGAATGTCATTCCCTTGCCACAGCTGATGCGTGCCAGAACTGGATGCTGCCGTATCTTGCTTGTGTCTCCACATTAACAGGATGTGTTAATGTGCACATCAAGTCGTTCACTCGACAAGGCCCGTCCTCCCCTGGTATATATATATATATATATATTTATTTATTTATGTATATATGTACATATACTAGTATAGATCTGGATGCATGTGTGACAGTGTTTATGGAATCGATTTATTTTGATTTAGCTTTATACTTGGCGGTATATATATATACATATACATATACTAGTATAGATCTGGATGCATGTGTGACAGTATTTATGGAATCAATTTATTTTGATTTAGTTTTATACTTGGCGGTATATATATATATGTATATATACATATACTAGTATAGATCTGGATGCATGTGTGACAGTGTTTATGGAATCGATTTATTTTGATTTAGTTTAATACTACTTGGCGGTTATATTCATATATGAACGAGAGGTGTATTTTGATTATTCATAGATCCAACGTCAAGCCCATTCAACTCGACTTCGATCTACCCCGACGGTACGCGACAACTGTAATAAACCTCATGGTTCTGACAATTATATGTATATAAATATTTAGATTTTGGAAGATATCACATTATATTTTAAGTCTTGATGTGAAATATTTTTATGTTTACGATACTTTGTCGACTTAATGATTGTACTAGTGTCTACCGTGTACCTTATGGATCAGTACCCACGATTTTGCCTTATTGAGTTGTGCCCAAATTGCTGTATGGTGTCAATAAAGAACGATTTGGTGGTACCGTACCCAGGTCGCTTTAGATTGGTCAAAAATGTCCAATTATATCGTTCTAGCCAATCAAACAAGACGAAGTAGTAGAAGTGGCCAATCCAAGCGCATTGGAAAGGAATCAGACCACCTTATGGAGTTGTATCCATTTCGATCAGATTTTACTGACATTTTCGGGGGTACAGATCCATAAGGTATACGGTAGTTTATTCATGCTAGGCGTATTTACACTCTAAAGTCATGTTTCCGGCAATTATATATATATATTATTTTTTGATTCCACTCTCGTGTTTGACAATATCATACGATGTCAAGTCTTTATGAAATATATATATATATATGTCTTTCTGCCGTCGACCCGTCGCCATATTTATCGTCCCTTGCACCATAGAATTCAAGTTAAACAATTATTTCTTTTAATATATTACAATCGTCCATTTCCATCATTGATGGGCGGGATTATTCCAGTTCGTGATATATAATTCTTGTCATGTATTATATATATCTCCACGCGTTATTTCTTCAACACACACACATTTATACCCAAATTTTGGATGACATTTGTGCTAATTCTTTGCCAAATCTATCGACCGATTCTTTGACTTTTATATGTAAAGATCGTCGTCGAGTATCACACTAATTTCAATCACACACTAATTCAATGTTAAATTGGTCGAAGCATGGATCATTTGATTGTTGGCCACACTTGATTATAGTGTTGTGGGTTTTGATTGGTCGATCGATATATTGATTGTCTTCCAATTTGGTGATTCTGGTCCTTCGATTGACCACCCAAAAACTCTCCACTTTCGAATCGACTTGACAATATATATAACGAATCGACATATGCACAAGTATCAATATATATATTAACTGCTTAAAAAAAAAAAATCACCATTATCTATAGAATTGTTAGAATTTTACCTAGGATTAATTTATATATTAATTTGGTCAAGATATCCAGCATCTTTAATCAATTTTTGGATTACTCGTTTACAAGCAAATAAAGCAGTTAATATTATGATTATAATGATTTTATATATATTTCATTTTTTATCTTCTTTTAATTCAATAGAATTAAGCCAACCTACATGCATTCTAGGCTCCCATATATCGTCAACTCCGTTAAAGTCGATACTCGTGGGCTTATTATGTGCATCTGTGGTTGTGGCCAGTGTCGTGGGGTATATTTTATGGCAGCGACAGCAACAACAGCGGGACTCGAATGATTCTGTCATGATGCTCTCAGACATCATGTATGTCACCGAGAAGGGCCGCATTCCCGTGCTTGGCACTCACAAAAGCCATGACATGGCCTCATCCCCAGCGCACACCCCCCTTAGCTCCATGATAAGCAGCCAAAGTATCACAGACTCAACTCAACTCAATTTGGGCGATTTGAGTCTATGGCGCCTCGATCTGGACAAACTGACTGCCGGCAGAGTCCTCTCTGTGGGTATAACTGGCGTTGTGACCATGGGAATGTACAGCAGCACCCCCGTGGCTATTAAAAAGCTCAACAAGTCTGCTGCACACCTCGCGCAATCGTTTATCGATGAAATTCAACTCATGACCAAGTACGTCAATATATATATATATATATACCTGTTGATAGAATGACCATTGGGGATGTTGTATAATAGTGCTTTGTTTTATATATATATATATGGTTTATTACACGCTTGGGTGTGTTGCTGTGGATGTAGATGATGATGCCTCAATTGGCGGCTGGATAATTCAATATGTAGTAAATATTTATATATATATATATGGTTTATTACATATTTGGGTGTGTTGCTGTATATAGATCATGCCACTGTTGGTGGTTGTATGGGTTCAATATATATATATATATATATATACGACGACACTCTATTCATATATTTATATATATATATAAGCACTACCATTTTTATTATAGGGGTTTGCCTTGAATTTTTCGGTCGTTATGATGTAATTGATAATCCACCCATCGTACAATATTTGACCCTCTTTTGTTTGTTTCTATCTTGTGTTTGACACTGTACCCCCCCCCTCCTTTCCTGTGTCGACTTTGTATACCCACAAATATATATATATATATTAAAAAATATTATTTTTCTCGTATTTTTAGACTGGACAGTCCATACATTTTGTCGATTGTCGGGTGCTGCTGGGTTCGTCCCCATGAGATTGAGCTCGTAACCGAGTACATGGAGCACGGGGACCTGCGCAACTTCCTCAAGTCGACGCCCCCCACAGTATTTACATGGGACCTCAAGCGCAGTTGCCTGTATAACATGGCCCACGGACTGCTGTATTTGCACTCGATGGAGATCATCCATAGAGATTTCAAGTCAAGAAATGTTCTGCTCGGTCAAAACCTGGTGGCCAAGTTGACTGATTTTGGTGTCAGTCACCAAATCACGTTGGACGATACTATCACACAGGGCGTGGGCAGCTTTCGATGGACTGCGCCAGAGGTACGAACTATATATATATATATAGTTGTCTTGTTGAATTATATTAATGTATTTGAATGGAATGTATTTTTATTTCATGTTCAGATACGATCTTGCTGGATACATATTATGCAAGCCCTATATATATATATATATATATATATATATAGGATTGTAGTCGTGAGACTCGTATATTCGAGTCGGACTTGTCGGTGGTGTGACCATGTAGTGTATTTCTATTCTTTTCACGTAGAATGTATGCTGTTTTCGAACGAATGTGATATGGCTATAGGATGTTTATATATATATATATATGGAGAGGTCGTTTGATTTCATGAGCATGCTAAATTGTATTATCAATATAAAACCATATATATATATATATTATATACATACAAATCAAGATATCGTTTGATTTCAATACCAGTATTCAATACTTGGACATGATTCAAATGAAAACCTTATATCTATAAATCTATATATCGTTGGATGTACATATTCCCAACAAGCACTACTATATGATATCGATATGAACCCTGTCATCATGCTATATATATATATATATATATATATTTGTAGATTTTACAAGGTAAACGATACACCGAGGCCGCCGACATTTATGCGCTGGGGATGGTCCTATGGGAGCTCGACACCCACGAAGCCCCTTATAGTCGGCAGCAGACGCAGCTGCAACTGACTGACTGCGTACTTATGACCCATATTCGAACGCAGTTAATTTGGCCAGAGTTTACCAATCAGTGCCCGCAGGACATCCAACAGCTAGTGCTTCAGTGCATTCAAGCTGACCCGACCAACCGACCCACAGCCCTCGCCCTCGCGTCCTCTCTAATATAACTACTGCGATATCGTGCTAGTACTACTAGATTGATGACTATTATATACACTAGTTTTTGGGGGCACAGGATAGTATTACTACGAGCAAATGCCAGACGGGCTCTACCCACATTAGGTCAAATATACTATAATATTTAAATCCAGTTTACACGGTTAAGAGGAATCTTTGGACATTCGTTTTGTTCCCCAATCAGAATGCAACCTTCATTATTTTTAGCCAATCATAGTGCATTTATTGCGAGCTAAATATCCATTGAAACTTGGCATACTGTAAACTACTTCGAAGTACGTAGTATTTCGACAGCACAATCCTACCAACTTCCTATAAATAGTAGGAGGACTACTTATATTCTCCATACTAGTAGTATTACTAGATATCTATCTTCCAATACTAAGAGGTTTCAAAGCGCTTTATATTATTACAGAGCCCCCATGGCCTTCATTTCTGCCATAAATCGCGCGTAGTCGTCTGCGGACTTAGTTGGTTTGGATGGGTCCAGGGGGGTGGGTTGAAAAAGCAACTGGCTGGGGGGCCCCACCATTTCTCTGTGACGTGGCATCGGCTGGTGGTGGTGGTGGCGCAGGGCTGTAGGCACCATCGCACGCAGTTGCTCTTGTTGGATCTCGTCCATTGTGTCTTCCTTCTACAAATATATATATATATATGATTCAAACGAATATAAGAATATATTGATAGTAAGTACCATTGGAGGAGGCAGGGATTGTGGCGGCGGGGGTCGAGTAGGGGGTGGGTGCAAAACGACGGTCGGGGGAGGGGGTGGGGGTAAAACGACGGTCGGGGGTGGGGGTAAAACGGCACGGGGCGGCTTTTTGTCTTGGGTGGGGGGTGGGGGGGGTGGTCGAAATGGACGGGGCCCCCCTGGTAACGGCGGCCGATTCTTGTTGCGTTGGCGGGGTCGGGGACCTTTGGGCAACGGGGGCTAAGTAGTTAACAACACTCGTTAAAGTACCTCTTGGTGAGAATTAACAGAAATATTACCTGGCCAGGGATGCTGTTGTGGAGATCTAAGTTGGCGACCGCGGCGGACGCTAAGGATTTTTTTTAAAAATCACGTTTTTAGTGAAAAATTCGATAAAATGCGTGAAAAATCGATGAAAAAACTCAAAATATTGATATTTGACCTACCAGGAACGACTTTGGGGGCGTTGGGGAGGTACGCGTGCCCCGGGGGCGGCGCAACTCCAAACGGATTGAAAACAGGGTCGTAATGCACGGAAAGTTGGGGATTTTTGTACGTTTTTGCGTTCAAATTGGCCAAATCTTTGACAGACTGGCCAAAATAATTGGTCAAAAACGTGAAAAAAACCATCAAGACTGACCTTGATCTCAGGAGGGGCTGCTGCCTTGGTTGCCTTGGCTTCTGCTTCGGTCTACACATCTACCTCAGATGGAACACGCGTTTCGATAGCTTACATCGGCGCGATGACGGAGCACTTGGCGCAGCGTATCTTCGAGCTCCTGCTTGCGCTGGCGCCCTGCTCCGTCCAACGCGCTGTTGCGTTCGTCAGTCTCCAGCTTCTTGATCTACACCACGGACGTCCATCGGCAAAGTGGTTCACAGGAGTTAGATTGCATCGATCGATCGATCGATCGCCGTATGGTACCTTGTCGCGGAGATCGGTGGGGTCCATGTCTGCCAGTTTGGACGTCTTGCCCTTGACGCGGTCAACCTTTAGCTTCTTCTTCTCCTTCGTCTTCTGCTGCTTGCGGAACAGCGTCATCGCATCCGCGCTGATCTTGTCCTTCTTGCCCATCCCTTCCACAGCGCTCACTGCACGTCCGCACTTGCCGTCGCTGGTTGGGATGAGGAAAAATCCGGATAATTCTCATATGCGGAATCCATCACGTTTTAGGAATGTAGCCAACTATCATTCACGTAATGTTAATGTTGTACTGGAAATAATAGAGTGATTAACAGTATTATAATAAAGTGATTGTATTTTAATACGAACTATATTAATAGTATTAAAATACTACTAATACTACAGTAGTACTGTACTATTAATATTAATAGTAATTCAGTAACTAATTCATAATAATTACTAAAATCTTTTAATAAATCTATATTTAATTATCTTTTTTTTAATATAATAAAAACAATTCTAAATTTAGTATTAAAAGCAATTTTTGGTAAGGTACTATTAAAAGTGTACGTATCATACAGTAACCGTATTCCAAAACTAGTAGTACTAACATACGTAGTACTCGAGTACTAGTACTACTAGTCTGGACATGCTAACGTTTCATGACGCTGATCAGTCCTCGACAATCAATCGATAATCGACAGCTACGGTTATAATCGTTTTATTTGGAAATGTCACTATAAGTGGACTGTCATTGGTATTCCATTGACAGGGCGTCTAGGGAATGGCATTGTCTGGGTGGATTCAACCTTTTTTGCATTGCTCCATTTTCTCACTCGACATCACATTCCCAAACCCGATGCATCGTTCGATCGCTTTGTTTGCTCTCTTTACCATGCCTCTGGTGTCTGCTGTGGGGTGCGCCCAAGACCAAAAACAGCAAATGCTCGATGCCATCACCAAGAGCCCGCAATGGCCAGCGTGTCAGCAGGCCACGACACCGTTCGACTTCTTCCTGGCGCTGACACAGGAAGGCCCAACCCCCACGCCAAACGACTTGGCGAAATTCAAGGCGGCCGCAGCCTGCACTACCGTGTACACTTCATTCCAAGATGCCATCAAGCAAGCCAACTGCGACGAAGTGGCCGACCTCGTCGGCATGTCTGTCGACCAGCTGGTGCCTCCCAACACCACGCAACCGAAGGCGACGCTGGCTCCAGTGGCTAGTGTGCCAGTGGCTATGGCTGCAGCGACGCCAAAACCAACTACCAAGCCATCTGTTCCAGGGACGACGGTGAAAGCCTCGGTGGATACTGCCGAGACGTCGACGGCTGCCGCGTCAGCTTCGATGGCCGTGGCTGCAATGGTGGTGGCGGTGGTTGCGGCGATGGTTTAATATCGGTCGAGACGTGTCCAATCCACTGCGGGTGGTATTCATGCTGCAGTACTAGTAGTCTTTCATAGCGACCTTCTTCCAGTTGTAGCGCTACAATAGTGAAGTCTACATAACCCATCCAAGACACTATGAAACTGGTATCTTGCTATTTCCATGTACCCCCCCACCGAAACACGGACAACGACGACACGCAGCTACGATGGCACAGCCGTATCCTCTGGGCGGACCGGTACACTTCCTTTCACCCCAGCCCACAGGACCCCCTTCCGCCCCCCGGCTCATCTACCGTATACAACCGTCATGCCCCACTTTCAAGTCCTACAGCAGCACACCACCAAACGGTGGATATCCCGTTAAGGAATGCCGGATAACCCCATCATCCGTCCACCTATCCCACAAACCATATCTAGCGGCGATTCGGGGGCCTTGGCTACCCTTAGCCAGCGAATCCTTGGTGCACGCTTTCCCCATCGCTACGTACCACCACCGACCAGGTGGAATATACGACGACTTCATCTTGCAACACTGACCTGAGTGTCACCCTTGCTGAAATAGCGACTTCCTTATATACCATATACCGCCCCCCCCGGTCTCCGCAGCTCGTACCTTCAGTCCCACTCCATTTCGGCCCAATACATTGCGCCTTCTCCGAAAAGCCGCCGATTATTCACCCAAACTGGCCCTGGACTTCTGCATGCAGTATGACACCCCTCTCACCCCACGGGATACCGAGATCCATCTTTTATGACTACCTCGATCTCCAAGGATACGACCATCTTTAAAAATAGTTGTGCCTGTCTTAACTGTACTACTACAACAACATCAACTCCCAACAACTATACATATATTGTGCTTTCGAGTGAAATTTCGTGTTGTGGCGTGGTTTCTCGTTGGAATTTAAATCGATTTGATTGGCTACCTCAGATGAGCTCAACATTATTAGCCAATCAAAACCTTTTCATGAAATTCAACCAATCAGATCGATTGTGGAGCGGTTTGGTCGGCGCGATTCGATTGCACCCCCTCCCCAAATTTGTATCAAATCGACAATATTTACCAGAATTTTTTTTACACGCAGTTGCTAAGCCGCCAGCGTAGTACATATACGTATAGTATTCTTGTGTTTATTCTAACGTAGTTGGCCAATTTATGGTGCACTTGAAAGAGACCTCTTAGTGGATGGAATGCAGCTTACTCGTACGGGGATTCCAATTCTGAAAAGTGCTGTATGCAGCCGAAAGGTTGGGCATTCTTCGTTATTATTTGATCGGCTTGAATTGACTTTATCTTACTGTTAACGTTAGCGTTTGTTTACTGTACTTCGATTTCCACTCAAACCAAGCAAATTAGGAGGGACGGTTTATATGGTCCACGGTTTCACAACTTAATATATGTATAATGTTAACTTATGCTATTTTTGTTTAATCTTTTTGATGATTTCACTTTTCTACTTGGTGATTTCATTATTGCCGAATCTCGTGCACCATAAATTGGCTATCATCTACCTTAACAGTAAACTGGATTGTGACATGGAGAACACAATAAATCGACACCACCACTAATGAGCCAATCAGATTGTGTAGTTAGTGTGCGAATTGAATTAGTGTGGGATCTCACGAACGGCACCTTATAGTCCCCACCACTCTGGAAATCTATAACCCCTCCAACTTGATGTATATATTTTTATTCTTATAAAACGCGATGTTTTTTATTGCACCAACAGGTCAAACTCGGCCGCGTTGAGCGACTGCATCGTGCGTTCATACACTAAAAACGTGACTGCGCTCACTGGAAAAGCGCGGAGGATGGTGGCGCCGAAGCCCTTGAGGAGGAACTTGGGTCCTTCCAGCGCATGCTGCCGCCGGACGACGTCCCACATGGACACCCGATCCGTCCCCTGGCTCTGCACCAGGGTCTTGACCATGTCAATCGGATGAGTTAACATCCACGAAATCGACCCAGCTAGCCCCCCCGCTAGCAGCAAGTTCATTGTTGTTTCCTATTGGTTGAGTTAATAAAAAAATAATAAAATAAAAAAATAAAAACGAAATAAGTCGACCGCCCAAATACAAAGTGGACAAACAAAATTCGTGGTTGATTTTTAAAAAAAGTGAAAAAAGTGGGGAAAAAAACAGTCGACAGCCCCAATGTACTGTACACGGAAACAAAAAGCGAAAAAATATTTGGCGCACTGACAGTGGTCGAGAGCATCCACGACCCTTTTTGTATTTGAGATTCTAAGAAAAAATATATGAAATTCAGTAGGCATACGTAGTTTTCCTCAGTGAATTCGATTCTGGCATTAAAATACCTTGATTCCCCTTGACTTTTTGAGTAAAGGCATAACATTATATATTGTAACCTTGAGTTCTAACGGTGACAAAATGATTTAAAATGGTCAAATCAGATACATAACTTAAGTGTAAAAGACATTAAAATGAAAACTGTAAGAACAAATTAATATTCTTAATAAAATAGAAAGGGTCTCGACCACTGTGAACAAATATACACGTACGTTGTCTGGCTGGCCGCCCGTGAGCGCATCCTTGAGCACTTCGTAGCTGTAAAAGTACGAGCCAAATGCCGGCACATCGCGCATGATTTGAAGGCCAGTGCCGCGGTAGATGCCGCGAAGTCCTTCGGCCTTGAATACGTCGCGCAGACAGGTCAAGGACGAGTAGTTGGACGGGTAGTTGTGTACTTGCATCGTGATCTTGATCAGTTCCGCCGGCGCGGCAAAGGTCACCTATACGAGTGTGATGAGACACAATCGTGTGTGAGGTAGTTGCTTACCTGACACAGCCCCGCGGCGGCGCCGGCGAGAAATTGCTGTCCCGGGGTCAACTTGGCGTCGGAGTTCCCGTCTTGCCACAAGCGAGACGTTTGGCCGTACACGGCAAACACCACGGCGTTGATCGGGGCGTTGCTAAGAATAGGACTCAGCATGCCTTTGTAGAACCCGCGGAAACCTTCGGACGCCGCCAAGTTGCGGCACGTGCCGACGATCCCGAGGTGACTCGTGGACTTCTCTGTCTGCAGCATGACCTTGATCGTGTCCAGAGGGTGACCCGCGACGATGCCCGCGACACCCCCGATCGTTCCGGCGTGCAAATCCTTGACCACTTCAATCCACTCCATGACGATGTCCTGTTGATGTGTGTGTGCGTGGTGGTGGTATCTATCCGTAGTCGTAGACACAATAGCAATCACCGTCCGAGTTCGCTCCGCTTCGGAACCCAGGCATACAAGATCAGCGACGATGAGGACAGGAGCAGCAGTAGCGGCGGCGGCGGCGAGAGGCGACGGCGAGCTAGCGGCAGGAAGGCAGGCGCAGGTGGGCAGGACACCAGCGATTGAGAAATGGGATTTGTCATCAGGAGTAAGAGTAAAAACCACGTGGTGGTAATTCGGTTTTAATCGGTTTGAGTATCGTAGAAAATGCGTTTTATTCCACCACCAATGAAAGTCAAAATCCTGACACAATTGGCTCATGGTCACAGTGAGGAAGACAATATTCATCGTACAGACTGCGCAACCAGCAAACGACGCATATCTAAGCAGGATCACTGGTATATCATCTACTTGGACGTTATCCCTCACTTCCTTTTGTCTTATAATTAGCACAGCAATACATCATGCATGGAAACTGACGTGGCATCGAAATCCTAAGGTTGAAGTTTTGACGTACACCATTTAACGTGTTTCTCGAACAAGCATACTGTAGGAGTACACCCAATGGATACATGGAGATTCTAATGGCTCCTCATGTGATGTCCTGCATGGGAATGCGACAAGCGTTGTCCAACAAGAACCAAGACGCTTACAATGTGTAGCCCACATACTGTACTTACTAGTGGTTCCAATGCACGTACAGTGTGATCTTTCCATAATACTGTAATATATCATATCTTGTTAGATTCAATATGTCATTTACATTTATGTAATATTGTCCATTATCGGCAAACCTCTCTGTCAACATACCTTTGAACAACGCATATAACGTGTATATCCCACCTTTTGTAGTTTAAACACAACGAGCCAGTTTCAGGATGTCTGTACCCATGGACTGGAGCAACTTCAACCACTTTTGTCGCAAGTTGCTGGCGCTCTGTAGCAACCATACTAACTTACTAGTATTAATAGTACAGTGTAGTACTAGTAGTAAGTATGATATATCCTGCATTTTATCAGCAACTTCTTATACAACTATACTGATTCACTCCACATATATATTCAACAACTATACTACTACTAATTCAATCCAACTATTACTTGGAGTAAGTACATTTCGACCAAACTCATAGGGTATACAACACCGAATTACAGTAATATTGCCTCAAACAGTTGTGTACCGTAGCCACATACAGTACTACTGTAAATCGACACGTAAGGCTTACACAATGTATATTTTCGGTGTTATTGAACTCATACGCAATCCCTGCCTCGTGGGGATAAAACATACACTCGCCTCCTCCTTATGACAAGGCCGGGTAGTCCGTGTACCCCTTGGGTCCGCCAGCGTAAAACGTCGCCGGGTCGGGGGCGTTGAGTTCCGCGCCTTTTTCAAACCGGGCGGGTAAGTCCGGATTGGCCAAAAAGGTCGTTCCGAACGCCACGGCGTCCGCCAGGCCTTTGGCAATCACGTCGTTGCCTTCGTCCTTGGTGTAGCCCATGTTGACAATCAGCACATTCTTGAAATGTTGACGGAAAATCGGTACGATATCTCCCTTTTGAGCTTGAAAAAAGTCGGCGCGCATCACATGCACATACGCGAGGTTGAAGTGCTGGCTAATCTTAGCAAGTTGCTCACTCAAGGCTTCGGGGTTGGAGTCGGCCATCGAGTTGTAACTGTTGAGGGGCGAAAACCGAACGCCGACTTTTTCCGCCCCGACGGCCTTGGTCACCGCTTCCAGCACGTCCGATAGAAACTTGGTCCGGTTCTCCAGCGATCCCCCGTAGCCATCCGTTCGTTTATTCGACCCGTCGCGAAGGAATTGGTCGATCAAGTACCCATTCGCTGCATGTACTTCGACCCCGTCAAAGCCAGCTTTGGCCACTGCCGCCGTGGCCGCCGCCGAGTACAGCGCCACAATATGGGGGATGTCAGCAATGGCAATCTCCTGGGGCACTGCGTGGGGCTGTTTGCCGGTGGCGGTGTGAACTTCGCCGTCGATGGCGTGGGGGGAGGCCCCGATCGTGCCCGCGCCGTCGTTGAAGGCTGGGTGCGCCGCCCGACCTGCGTGCCAGATCTGCATAAAGATCTTGCCGCCCTTCGAGTGCACTGCGTCCGTGATGCGTTTCCAGCTGTCGACTTGGTCAGGGGTGAAGATACCCGGCTCGGTCCCAAAGGCCGACGTCAGCGGCGCGATCAGCGTGCACTCGGTGATGATTAGCCCGGCCGACGCGCGCTGGGTGTAATACTCCGTCATGAGGTCGGTGGGAACGTGGGTAGCTGTTGCGCGGCAGCGAGTGAGCGGCGCGAGAAAGATGCGGTTTGCCAGAGTCAACGATGGGCCAACGGTTAAGGGGGAGTGGAGGTTCAAGACCGATGAAGCAGAAACTGGTGGAGCCGCAGGAATGGACGGACCGGATGACGCGATTGGCACGTCGGCGGGGGTAGGGGTGGCGGCGGCGGCCGCGGTGGTGGCAGCAGGGGTGGACGTATCGGCCATCGTTAACGTTCGGAAATGAACCGTCGGGAAACCAGAACTAAATATAGAGGTCACGACAAGGCGCTGTAACCGAAAGTGAAACAGGTCGAAACTCACGTTCGTCACGAATAAATATGGTTTCATCTATTCGCAGCCATGAATGAATGAATATATGAGTTGGGTTGGTCATTATTGTTTTTTCAACGCAAGAACATAGATCATTCACATTTGCTTGAGGTTGCACCGGTTAACGTTAACGTTACATAGTCCTGTAACCGTTTTTCAGTTACTCCAATCGGAAGGCTCATGATAGCCTCGTGCTAAGCATCTTGGTGAATCCCACGACAGCTCCTAAACGTGTGAGATAGGCTTCTTGAGTCACCACTGTACCAGCGTGGTGGCTCAAGAAGCCTAAGTATCATAGTACATACCGTCATGATATTTTCATATAACGAAGTTATTCGGTAACGTTACTATTAAAATAGTAACGCTACCGAATACACGAAAACCCCATTCTATTTGCCTTGACCAAGCGATTCTTTGGCGAATTGTGTTTGATCGTTCTGCATATTGACGTACAGTATCAAGTGCACAAGTCCCTCGTGCGGGACTCTGCGATGGAGATGCGGTGGGGGCATCTACGGTACCACTTCGACCTGTTAATACCCTAGGATTAATCAAGTTTCAGTGATGGACATGTCGATTGTGATAAATATTGGATGGAATTCCATCGAAAACTCTGCGGACCTACTACCGGTACACCCTGAAGTGATTCATGAAGTAAATTGTAAATTTTCTACTCTGATTGGCCTATATACTTCGAAATTCGATTTTAGTGACAAATCAAACCAACTGGTTTGTAAATAGCCGAATCTGATTGGCCATAATATCACACATTAACTTCAGTGTAGTACTGTAGTATTTCTTTGATGACTCGGCTGCCACTATGAACATGTCGCATTCACGTCCAAAAAGTCGCATACTGTCGTGGGCCACGAAAAAGAAATACTAACGTTAAGCTTAATAGTTAACGTTAGAACGATTTAAAAAACCCACTCGGAGCAATGTTACAGTAGTTCAAAAAGGGGACATTTCGACGTTGTGAACTTATTCCGACCAACCAACCACGTCAAACGGGCATCGTATTCGCCTTGAATAATACTAGTAAGCTTACTATACGTATAGTACTACGCAATACTAGTAATTGAAAGCTACTACAGTACGTAGTAGGATATGGATGGTGGAGTATATCTTGGTCACATGGTATCAAAACAATTTATCACGCACGGCCTATGCACTGGATTAGGCCGCCACCGCAACCGCCATCTGGAGGTTGTAAGATCAGAAGCTAGGAAATAAAATGAACCCGCCCTCGCTGGACATACGTTCAGTGGTCCAGAACACGCGAATTAATGCAAATACTACCGGTAAATTTATGCCTTGGCCACCACACATACTAAAGTTACATGCAACGCCTTCACAACCAAACAGTCAAGTATTTTACTCCACTTCAAACTGACAACACGACTACTACGTACTACTAGTAATACCTAACGTCTCTGTATTACGCGTTGAGTAAAAACGACAAACTCGTTTTGGGGGGAGGAGGGGGGGTAGAAAAGTACTCTGCCGGTGGGGGGGGTAGCCACGACTGATGATGGCCATTGAGTACAAACTCAAGGGCCATGGGCTGACGTGGCACTTCGTCCGACGGTGGTGTTGGCGTTGTTGTTTGCTTTTGCTTGGAGTACCGGTCCCGCTTTCGCTGGTTGATCTTGTCCTTGTTGCGCTGTCGGTACTCTTTGACCCACTTGGCCTCCTTTTCCGGGTTCTGCTTGCGGTATTCCTTGAGCCGGGCAAGGACTTTATCACGGTTCTGCTTGTACCAGACCTTGTTGTACTCTTTCATACGCGCCAGCTCCTTATCTCTGTTTTGCTCGCGATACGCTTGAACTTTGTCGCGATTACGCCGCTGGTACTCTTTGCTTTGCTGGATGCGTTTGGCACGATTCCGCTCGTAGTATTGCTTGCAGTACGTCGACTTTTTCTTCTTCGTGGTCAGACTGGTGCTACTGTTGTCGTCATGGTCGTTATCCGAGTGGAAATTGGGGGATTCAGGACTGGTCGCGCTGCCCCAATCATGTGGGCTTTGAGCAGTGTCCATGGGGTCGTCGGAGTAGGGGAGTAGTTGGGTGGTGTTCGGCGTCATAACGTGATGTCTTGCTTTGCGGCGAAGTGGCGAAATGAAAAGTTCAAGCATTTGCTGCAAACGGCTACAATCTGGTATCACAACGAGCTGGTCTGAACGAAGCACCAATCGAAGTTTGGACCTCGTTGTGCTATGAATTGATACTGGCAAGCCAACACCACACCATCTGGTCAACACTGTTGTTTCAGATACCTACAGTACTTACTTTCGAGGCCTTCAATGACTTGGATTATTCAAAATACTGGCACAATTCAAAGGTATACCGTTAAGAGTTGGGCTAAATACGTATATGAGGCGCATGTATACAATATAAGTAGAGCTCCTGAGGGCACTCTACAGACTCACTGTATACATGGCTGGCCTGTACCTCTTTTTTCCCCTTCAGAAACACAGGCCAGCCATGTATACATACAGTCTGTCTGTACTGTACCGATCGTCAAAGGGATTGGCCTCGATCTCAGTATCAGCAGCTTGATGCATAACTACTTATATAGCATAAATGCGCCTCAAATATGTAGCCCAACTCTTAACGGTATACCTTTGAGTATTTTGAATAATCCAAGTCATTGAAGGCCTCGACAGTACAGTACTGTACAGTCGGTTATCATACTGGTACAGTATGGCTTACGTTTTTCGTGTACTGTTAGTGTCAGTGGGACTCCAGACAAAAGAAGTAGAATCCGATTAAAACTGTTGTACTACTGTATTGAGGAATGACATCCGACTACTACGAGTAACTATTAATAAAATCACAGTGGATAGAGGTGAGGTGAATCAGAATTTACAAACTTCCATATAAACTGGCAAATGAAACACAATTTGCAGTGTTTTATGAGAAATGAAACAGTAGTATCACTACATTAATTGGAGAATTGCTCGAAAATGACACAAGTCGCACTAACCTACCAGAACTAACGATAGGTATGTCCGTTATGTTCGCCTTTCATTCGATGTATTTCGTCCTGGCCCTAATCGTTCTGTTATTCAGTCACCCCACAGCCGATATATTTCACAAGTTCTTCAATATATTTCAAATGATGTTCCATCTATTTCGTTTTTACTGTTAATTGCAAATCAAGTAAATCTATGCACTGCTTCTTCAGGCGCTGACTTCCATGTCATCTAAGTTTTCGGCAAGACCAATGAAGAACTCGAGCTTCAATGTGCATGGTTGAAGATGATTCGGGTCTACTCATATCTATAATTCATACAAGGCCAAAACGCTATGCACTACCTGCGATTTACTAGATTTGCATTTATTAATTACTTCAGTAAAACGAAATAGATATCACTCGATAGTATTCCACATAACGTCTCACTGTCAGGAGTACTATAGAGTAACGTACTGTATTACTGTAGTATACACTCTACTATTAGTACTTAGTTTTAAAGTAAGCTTATTACGAACATCGAAGTATTAATAGTACTGCGACATTGCGTAAGCGACCTGCACATCCGCGCGTGATTTACATACAGCGCTCGTGATTTATATACAGCGCTCGTGATTTATATACAGCGCGCGTGATTTTAGTCTAGAGTACTCATTCTCGTAGTGCAATCTCATGCCAGTTTGACCAGTTCTTTTCGCTCAGTTGGGAGCGCGTCTACTTAGAACATCTCAAACGGTGTTTATATTTCTTTTTCAATTCGACGTTGCGGATACTCTAGTATAGATTGGAACCTCTTGCACTATCCGGAGGGTTTGTGCTATTTCACGCGAAAATAGAAATTCTGCGGGACATACTTCGAAGTAATTTCTCAAAAGTCGGGATAGAGCCAAAATAGCACCCGAGTTTGAGTGGGGGAACATGACTGGTCATTATATTGTCAAAACTGAAGAATCAAATGTGTAAACCGGTTAATACTCCGGAGTACAGTACTACTGTACTACGTACACGCGAGTGCAAGAATGCGCCAGCAATTATACCCAGTATTCTGTGCTAATTCTACAGTTTTATATGTTGACTGAGAGTTCGTTGGTCGTGAAGTCACACTGTATCGCCCTTCCAAGTGCGCGGAGCAGCTTATCATCATGATTAATATGAGGCCTGGCCTAAACGAGAAATACTGCAAAAAGGGTGATTGAGAAGTTCCCCACTGGTATTTGAACGAGAACAATGGCGGCCCCACCACAACTTCGAAACGAGTTTCGAAGTTGAAGCAGTTGAATGCATGGCAGCTGTCGTTCGTAAGAATATAGTGGAAAGGGAGAGTTCAGACTCGACCATAACTGGGCGTTCTGATGTCGACCATGGGTGAACTTCTTGTCCTGGGCTATACTTACTGTTAGATCAAGAGTAAAGTGATCTACAAGTATAAGAGCGTCTCCAACGGTAAATTTTACCTATTCCTAAAGCATACCACATGGTACTATTGTAGCTTAAAGTCAAACTTCGTTTTTACGGTCCTGTAAGAGAATTAATATTTGAACCGCCTAAGCCAGTCGAATCCCGTTCTGGAGAATTTCTGCTAATCCAAAGTACTGATTTACTGTCAGTTAGTTAAGTTCCTCCGCATTGGGCAATACCTGACACTATTAATAGTATATATTGATATTGTATACTACACCATTTTGCGTTTAATTTCAGCTTTTTTTCAAAATATTTCCACCAACAACTGATATATTTCACCTAACCTCCATTTTAATTCACCCAACCTCCATTATATTTCACCCTGAATTGAAATTTGGGCATTATATTTCACCCAACCCCCGATATAATTCACCCAACCAACGGTTAATTTCACCTTTCGAAAATATATTTCGCCTGCCACCTATATATTTCATAGAAAGTAAATCCTTTACGTCCAAGAGGGTTAGACCAACGTTCATCCCTGCCATGTTCTCAGCACGGACATAAAACGGCTCAAGGCGAGCCGTGTACACACGCAAAACGATTCGGCTCAATTCCTATTTCATTGTTAGTTAAATACGATACACATGGACTGAATGCCTCGTCCGCTGTGTAACGACTCTAACATGAGCCATCCTTTTGCAGTGGACTCGGGGATTCCATTTGCACGAGCAAAGGACTTCCAGGCTTGTCCGGCGTCATGTTCTGCGACCACACGTCCCTTGGTAGAAAGTTGGAACTCGCTTGAAGGGGTCACGTCGGGGTGCCTATTTGGCATGTTAGCGGTGGATCGTACTATACAGAGAGCTGTACCTGAGTTAGTGGTGCAAGGATGGCCTCTTCCATCGAGCTTAGATTCAAGAATGGTGAAAGCGCGCGAAACTCTTCGCGCTCTTCGATCTTTCTAGATTCGAAGCTCGAATTATAATGATTTTTAGGTGAATTTAATTTTCGAAAGGTGAAATTACCTGTGTTTGGGTGAATTATAACACAAGTTGGGTGAAATATAGCAGCTATATTTTACGTCGGGGTGAATTATAATGGAGGTTGAGTGAACTATATTGTTGACGTATTGTTTTAACCTACGGTGTTGTATGGCTACAGCGGTACTACAGTATTGGGGATATCCTCGTCAACGGCATTGTAGTAATGAACATGAATATCTGGGATGTCGTGCCCAATCAGTGGTTCTACACGGGTGTGGCGCTGGTAGATGACAACCCTGGAATTTCGGCTTCATTGCGTCCACGTATGTACCTGTGGAAATCGCCAACAAGCAAAAAAGGCGCTCCATACAGCCTCGCGTCCACGGGAGGAATGAGCACACATGCATGTACAAGCGCTACATCAAGATCGACCCACTCGACGCCGCCACCAGCTCCCAGACGGGCACGAACGTCATGGTGAACGCGGAGGTTGCAACCTTGCGCCGCTCCTCCGCAGCTTACTTCCATTATATGGAGAGATGAGGATTACGTCTCGACTGGATGCATTATTAGACATGAGCCCTGAAGCGCTATATTATCGAGAGAATATCATCTACAATGAAACCTCTCCAGAGTGAATATTGTCCAATAGCATCGTCAACCTCGGTCAAACAACGCATCATAAAAGCCATTGATGTGTAACTGCATGCCTGCAGAAACCAATAAATTTATAGACACCTACTTCGAAGTATGTTATTTGTTCTTGGTTTTTTATCCACCCAAGCTATCACAGTATCATAATTATTACTTGTGATTATATTTGGCGATAGTATGACCAAAGTAACCCCTACCTAGGTATCCAACCTGCGCAGAAGAGTTTCGTTGGTTTTATATCTCGGCGGAACACAGGAATGAAATCGGGGCGTCGTACCAAGGGTTTAGTAAGAATGCTTCCAATGTGATTGTTAAACGAGGTAAACCCCCTTATCAAGTTGACCTTCAAGACAGCGAAGCGACCCCTGGCAAATTGTGACGCAAGATCTGAACTTGGTGTACGTACCTCCCTCCCCCGTCTTGCTAGTTGGGCCTAAGAGATGATAGCACCGTACCCCCTATAGTCGCCATGTACGAGTACAGTACTGTTTCACGCCAAATCCTCAACCAATTAGAAGAGAATACTTCTCGCGTGTGCATGCGTTAAGAAGTGCCCTTGGGTCGTCGTTACGAGAGCAATCAATTTCTCGATTTGGCTGCGATGACGTGCGACACGTTGTACTCTATGTACAGTACTTTGAGTTCACTGTCAGTTGTTCATGGACAACTCTTATTGCCCTGGCTGGTACCACTGCATCCACTGGACATCAAGATATTATTGATGTGAGTACAGTACAGTCGTGGTTCACACACTTCCCAATCGCACACACAGTTCTATCAATTGATTGGACAAAGGCGAATATGCTTTGCGTTGCGATGATCCACTTTCCTCGGCTTCAAGTACGGCTTGTGCTACCGTACCGTCGTAAATATACTGTATACTACAGGTACATCGTATTTCTAGGTCGAGAGTCAGTGTTCAGTCGACTATCAGCAGTCCTCGGAGTCTGCTGTCCTCACCATTCCTCACCATCCGATACGCAGTACATGTACATGCCCTTGAGTGTTCGTTTCAAACATTTCGTATATTCCCCTCAAAGGCGAAACTGGAAGCTTACACGTAATGTAAGGATATCCCGACAACGGATACTGTAGTTGAGAGCTAACTTACACAAATCATTCGTTTGTCCTAGCCGCGACCAAAGTCAACGCTTCATGTCGCTCGCAATGTATAATTGACACATACATATACAGCATATTTACCCACCCCCTGACTTCCAAAGAGTCTCCCCGAGAGGTTCGACCTGCAATTGTTACTCGCGAGTAGTCAATAAATGACTGGAATGTCAACAATTGCAGCAATTTGCATTTTGGTATTCAACAATTGCATGCGGTGGACTTTTGCATACATTATATCTGATACAAAAAGCAAGTTCTGTCCTCGACTCTACTACTAAGGAGTGTATGTACTACATATGTATATACTAGTAGTACGTATACTGACTGACTACCGTAGTCTTTCACGCCATTCTCAAATCTCCTTGCCACCGCACACAAGTAGTACAATCAACATGCCCCACTCGAACACGTCCACCACCAGTCGCACGGAATACCGCCATGCGTATTACGCCAAGCACAAGGACAGGGCGCTTGCCCAAGTTAAAGCTTACTATGAGACCCATAAAGACCAAATTGCGCGGAAACAGAAGGAATACAACCAGGCGAACCGGGCGAGAAAGGCAGCGACCAACCGTGCGTACAAGGAGCGGAACAAGGAGCGCATTCTGCTGCAGCGGAGAGGGTACTATATCCAGCGTCGGGACATGATCGTCGCCCAGGCAAAGGACTACTATCAACGGAACAAAGGTCGCATTCAGTCGCATTATAAGACAAAGCAACAGCGTCGCATGCCGTCAGCCACGGCCGCCAACTTGGATGATAAACGACCTCTGGCGACCACCAAGATGGATCTGTCGTTTCTACTGAACCCGTCAATCGAGTTTTGATGGAAGCCTAGGGTGTAGTACTATTTAAAAGTGAGTGATGGTTGTTGTGTGTCCACACACATTTTGTCCAACCAGTTAAGAAGAAATACAAGTTCAAGCTGTAGTAAATGTACATGGATTTGTGTGTGGTGATCTGTTGCACCGAATCGACCAATACATGTATAAGTACACGTCTGTCCTGTTCATTGGACCATAGGACATTGTTGCTTAAAGCTACACCGATCAGACAAACCAACGCACAAACTATTAATATAAATGTGATTTGGATAATATTAACATATCGATTCATGTCCGGTGGTGGGTGACTTCTCGTTGGACTTGGTGGTATCATCCGCAAGTTTGCCACATGGGGTAACTTGCCGCCGCAGTAGAAGGCTGGTACTATATTATTAATATCAATTGGCTTGACTGTAGTCCCACATCGTGTCTTCACCCCCTTTCTCGGTAAAGCCAAACATCGGTGGCACCCCCTACGTTGTAATCATGGGACGACTCACTCTTAAACACCCCATCGACTTGCCATTACGAGGTCGAACCGGTCGGCCACCACCTTGCCTCCAGCCGGGCATGAACGGTGTCACCGTTCATGTATTTTAAGAACAGAAAGAAGTCGACCAGTCATCAGCCCTCGGAACTTGAGTGTTAGGGGCGATGACGCCTCAAGTCGGGTTGATTGAGAGGTCGTTATTATGGTGTTGTCATACTAATGTATTGCTGGCAGCGTTTACAAACAAAGCTACACTTAGTGCCTGGACTAAAGGCCAGATTCACGTCTAACGTTAACGTTACCTCCCTTCCTGTGAGGTGTACGTGACGGCGCACAGTCCTCAGGTTCCTCGTTGGAAGTCCGCTGCCAGTAGCACCATACGATACTATAGACCGTGGATAAACTCGATTGTATTTTCCCTGCTCTTTGACTACGGTACTGATTTCCTGGGATATCGTGAACATATCTTGCGACAGTGTACACTAGGTGAAGTAGGATCGCGGTGGCGAGATCCATCCATGGGTGTAAAATGGAGATTGCGGAGAATTGTAATACTAGTATTTGGAAGTGGTTATCTTGCCATGTTCGATAACTGCAAAACGGTTGTAAGTCACGAGCCAATCGCATGTTGTGTTGTGAATTTTTGCATGAATCTATTCCTCATCACGGGTTTGGGGTATGTGTATGGTCGAATTGTGTACTTCTATAAATATTGCATATCTCTACGGTCGGCACCAGTCTACGAAATGAGGCATGTGATGGCCTGAAGTAAGCTCGTTATGCATGAACAGATAACTAACAAGTAAATATACAGCTGAGCAAACAGCAGACAACATGATTTGCCAGTGAATAATCCTTAGTAGTATCGGTCAGTGTGGTCCGACGTTATACAGAACTCTTGCGTCGATGATGGAAGCATACGGTAACGTTAGGCATTCTTATACTCGACATTTCATCACAGTAACCTACATCCAACACACTCACGTGACTATTGGTTCAAGACGAAGTCTACGTTCATCTTGGAAGGCGGTTCATGATGAGAACGTTTGGGGGGTTGCCAGCTTTCTTGGTACGATGTGTTGTTCATTGCTTGGGGGCTTGCGACCTGTGGGTCTTTCTCCATTGGACCCCCTACCTTCTTTTGATGCCATCGTTCGCGTTTGTATGCTGTGATTTTCGCCCGGTTCTTGAGATAGTACGCCTTGTGAATGGCTCGAATTTTTTCGCGGTTGCTTTCTCGGTATTGCCGCTGGTTCTCGCGCACTTGATCGCGGTTGCGGTCGTAGTAGCTGGGGCGGTCGTCCCCTTGTTCGGGGACTTGTGGGTTCAGATGCAGGGCAATGGGCATTGTGTATGTGCTGCTTGGACAATTCGAAAATGAAGTCTACCTTGGTCGGCCAAATGCAGTTACCGGTAACGAACGTTATTGTGAAACTCCTGTCTGTTCACATGACCAATCGGATGGTGCGATGTCGCTGGGTTTCTCATTTGATTGGAGAAACTTGTCGTTTGAGTTCTCCTGTCCTAGTATTACGTTAGGGTTAACAGTCTTGGCCAATCTATTTATGCCGACTACGTAGTATACTAGTATATACTATTGCACGTTTATCACGTCTTACCACTCCAATGCTTCTTGCTTGACAGAAATGCCTCCTTGTAGGCATCGTAGTTTGGGGTAACATTGATACTATTAATAGTATTACCAGTACTACCTAGTACGAATATTCTATGTAGTGACGTACTCTTAATAGTTAATAGTACTAGTAGTATTAATAGTTGTTGAAACAGCTCCCATTGGTCATTCTAATATTTCTTGTCGCGGATTGGCTACATTGATTATTCGTCTTCCAATCACAATGGTGCAAAGGCAATCAAATTTCGTGGCGTCGGTTTAACGAATCGGGATGCCGTACACAATACTGTACTACTATACCTGTGGTCCTAGCAGTCACAATAACTACTCGTGTGGTTGTAATTTATTTAGAAATATTCATTTGACTTGTAGTTTGTATTAGACCTGACCTTTTTTCTCCCCTAAGGTCTACCCTAGACCGAAAAATCGCAGGGTAGTTATTATGTACGGTACGGTAGTACAAGTAGTGGGAGCTTACTAACTTACTAACTAGTTAGTATGGTGCACGTCATCTAAAAACTTCCAACTGGCCAAATTGAAGGGTGAAGGTTTTATTATTTAACGTGCAATTAATGTAGTTAAACCCAAAATCCAGATACGTTAAATACCCATTTCATGCGTTTTATCACTGGAGTGGGAGGTTAAAGGTCCCCCTTGCCTCCGGATATTAAATACGGATAAGAGTCACATACAAAAATCAAGATACATTTGAGCGGCCACCCCTATGGCCAAATATCCAAGCGCCCATGTAAAATACCACTAGGTTAAATATCTATTTCTGGACCAATTCATCACCAAATTTGAATCTGAGACGTAGAATTTCTTCACCACATTGAGATCTGTCGATTATACGTCTCAATTTGCTGCAATTTTGAGTAATGAATATGAAATAGAAGTCAGAAAATTTTGTGAAAAGTTGGTAGTTTATAGATGACGTGCACCATACTGTATACATACATGTACGTTTGCCGAAGGGTGACATGAAAGTTCCTCCTGGTGCTTACACCGGCGCAACCTACAAACTGGAACGCTCCATCTCTCAAGGCTTTACATTCACGGAGCCCATGACATTTGCCAGCCTTTTTAGTTCGCGAAAACGGCCAAGTTCTGACTGACTCTTGCCTCCAGTACAGTATCAGGTAGGGAAAGCAATTGCACAAATTATTGACTGTGAACAAAATTGCGTTGCGGGATTACAGGCCGGTGTCGACAAAATTGAAGGTTCTGAGCATTTCTCAATTAACGACTACTAGTAGTACTAGTACGAAATACTAGTACTATTAATAGTAGGAAGCAAATATCAGCTGTCGATGACAAAAGTGGAAGGCTACACTGTATGTACCTATAGTTGTATGTATATGGGCAACTCGGGGCGAGGCACTGAGGCCCTCCTGTACAAAAACTATGATGCCGAGCCTCAGTACGTCCCGCCTTGTGAGTCTTAGGCAAAATAAGTGTGAAACTATTTAGGAAGGGGGTGGCTGATGTGTGAGGATTCAACCGGTCCATATATTCACTTGTGTTCACTTACTGTATGTACCGTCATATAGTGTCGCGGTATACTAATAATTCGAAGAAATACTACAGTACTACGACCATGTTGATTGCGCCGGCATTACTTACACTGGTGACTGTGCAATCATCGCTACCTACTTCTAGTACCGGTAGTACGTACTAGTACCGGTACACTGTAATTCGTTGGAACCCGATGACAATGGCTGCAAACAAGTTGGAGCATCAAATCTTTACCGTATAGTGTATACTACGTAGTATGTATTGCGACGGATTAATCTATTGCGACTCCTGTAATGACTGATAATTTTCTTGTAATAACTGATATTTACTTGTGAATATGTTGAATATACTTCAAATTTGTATGACGCAATGGACTAACAAAATTTTGAGAACCTGTGTCGGCCGGTTGTGGAATATCACCTGACGCAATACATATACACTATACGGTAGTAACGTTATGAGCAGCATAAACGATCTACTGTAGGCAAAACTGTTGCTGGTGGCACAAAATCGTCTATTACCTGCCGAAATGAAACACAAATAGTATTGAGCCCTCTATCCACAAAAAGGTGCATGTACAAGCATAAATAGTTGATTAACATACAATAATACGTCCTCTACAACTCGTTTGTGTTGAGGACGTCTACGCATTCAAGAGGAAGCCGACATGCATCTTGACTGAAGCGCTGGGTCGGTGGGAGTGCGACAGATTGGGGAGTTGCCAGCTCTCGGGGCACTGGTACGAGGTGGTGTTGGTTGTTTGGGGGCTACCAGTCTTGGATTGTGCCACCTTGGCGTTGCTAGCCTTCTTTTGATGCCATCGTTCGCGTTTGTATGCTGTGATTTTCGCCCGGTTCTTGAGGTAGTACGCCTTGTGAATGGCTCGAATCTTTTCGCGGTTGCTTTCTCGGTATTGCCGCTGGTTCTCGCGCACCTGATCGCGGTTGCGGTCGTAGTAGCTGGGGCGATCGTCCCCAGGGTGTTGCGGGTTCAGATGCAGGGCAAAGGTCATGATATTTGCGTGTGTGTGTTGCTTGTTGCCAATTCGAAAATGAGGACGTGATAGTTAGTTGGGCGTGAGGTTCGGCCACATGCACTAATTGACCACTTCCAACTGTTAAATAAAACTTGTGTTTCGAAATTTTCGCATTCCAAAGTTGTATCCGGGTGCTTCTCCGGCCAACCGATTTCGCTCGGTTGGTTAGACTTGCAATGGCCTAGCTCATGTGGGCTGTATGCGCCAGGGGAGATGTGCTTGTGTTGAACACGTAGAATCATCAGTCTATCGGAAATATGTGAAGTGGTGCCTTCTCGAATGACTGGCTTATGGCTGAGGTTGTTTACACCGGCGCAAACTACCAGCTGCAAAGCATATGGTTTACCAGTCATGTCTCAATCAAATTCTGTCGACCAACCAACATCCATGTTCAAGTTGGTGGGCCACAGTGATGGATTGATTCTACTGCGTACGCTGATACCCGATATACGACCTATAACCCCTTTCATGCGTGTATTTACAGAACGCAAAATGATAATTCGTGTTTCCTTGTATACTTGAACGATCAACTTGACGTGGCCGAAAAACATGTGCCCAGTTACCGGTATGTAGGTGATTCCTCCCCTGTTATTGTTTGGTTCTTGCCAATTGAAAGGATTTTACCTGGTTAGTAACACTCCGTAGTGACGAACCGGAAAATGAGGGATAAATTGGACTGATTCATGTCAGGGCCGGGGTCAACACGAGTGGTGAGCTCTTCGCTGTGGAATCATATTGGCCCCTAATTCTAATCCTTCGTCAAGTGGTATAAAGGTCTACTGAGATAATTTCAATACTACGGTAGAAGACCGACAAATGACGAACATAGACCTCTACCAGTACACCAGTACATTGTACCGAAGCCAACAAGGTGTTGGGTGAGTTTCCTCCTCTAAGCGGTGTAATTCGCCAAGCTAGCGAACCAAACTTACTATAGAAGCGGGAGGCCTTCGATGGTGGTAGCAATTTGAACCTCGCAGTCAGTCCTTGTTTAGGTGCACCCGAATCCCCCCTCAACCAAGGCTCGTTTTTAAGGTGATCATCGAAATCACTTCAACGGTGTATGTTCATTTTTGGTCAGAATGCCCAGCAACTTTTCTGATTATTTCTCCTGAATACTCGTATACGAAGTACCAGGTAGAATAACCTCAAGCATGGAGGGATTGAGTACTAGGTGGACAGCTCATGAATTTCATTTATCCACGGGTATCGTAATCGATCCTTGTGTGAGTTGACCAGCTCGATGATGGGTTTAGTACGTACTTTGCTTAACGTGAATATCTTGTGTGATTTGCCCAATGTGTACATATCGTGATATATGCCTTGGCAAAAGGGACAATTGAAATCAATCATATTGTAAATACATTTGGACAGCGGGTGTCTGATTGGCTCGGTGACCAGGCGGGGGTTTCACAGTGCTAAACTTCGACTGGTTTTGTTTTCCGGCGGATGAGTCTCCACTTTCGACCATTCCAAGTGACATGACGACCACCGTTGCGATGCTTCTGAACCCTGTAGACAAGGACAATCAGCCGAGCTACTACGAGCGCAACCGCGACCAAGTCCGAGAGCACCAGCGTGTGTATCGAGAAACCAACCGCGAAAGAATCCGAGCCATTCATAAAGCGTATTATCGCAAAAACCGTGCCAAGATCACCGCGTATAAGCGCGAGCGATGGCATCGGACGAAATCGAGCGCGACCACCCAAGATGGTACATGCCCGCCCCTGGCGTTCACAACAAGCACGGACAGCACTAGTCAATCGTCCTTGGGCAGCTGTGACTCGACTCGGCCATCAACCATGCGCGTCGAAGACTTATTGAACCCCTTGTAAACCAAGCCTGGAATACAGTATGCACTGCATGCCACAATCCGTTGAAACGACTCGACAAGATCGTCTATATTGCGATAAGGGTGTACATTTATCGTCAACCGTTCCAAATTATCAAATGCATTGACGTGCTCATTATCATTCTTGCACCAACTTTACCGGTAGTATATAATGGTGTGTTTAAAAAGCCCGCCCCCCTACAGTACTACACGACTACACGCTTCCCAACGTTCTTCGTTCTGGAATTCAGCTCCCCTTCGACATCATTCCATCACATTTATTCATTGCGAGGCTTGTGGGAATCCCAAGATCGCTTGTTGTCGAAATCGATTTCACCCCTCCAAAATGCAATGGCCCCACGCAATCAATATACATTGCATTGCAAAACTAATAGTGTGACAACTCGGAACGAATGGGAGCGGGACTTAGGGGGATAAAACGGTGATGACTGTTGAATGTTTGAATACTGCGTAGAAGGGACCTGTGTGTGGAAGGGGGGGTGATTTAAGAGGAGAACCACGATTCAGGATTGGTTCAGTTGCAGTATATTCGTCAACAAATGCAAGCATACTTCCAGTGGCCAATATGTACGACCAGTAGGTAGTTGTAAGAATGCCGACAAGTGGTTTGTCATGTTGCATGGCCCCTTTCAAGTACTAGTAGAAGTCAAAACGATCGACGTTGAGGCACATAATCCCTTTGCATGTTTATAGCAAAACACCCCCCTCACTTCCATACCGAACACGTTCATATGGGGGGACTATTCATTGCCTCACAACTTTCCTACATAAGTAGTGAGTGCCCCCCATGCAGTATAAATGAAGGACTACATACTACTAGTACTACGTAGTAATACTACAGTACACTAGAACCAGTACGTATTTATAGTGTACTAGTATGCTTTACAGATAACGTAGGGGGGAGCTCCACTCTCGGAGTGTGCAACTTCAGTACACTGTACGGCCCCTCATTTCTGAACAAGTTAAGGAGACTGGCGTGTTGTGCGGAAATCTCACAATTCGAAACGTGTTTACGCCGGCATAGCAAACGTCTAGCCACCACCCAATTCCATACCCGTCGTCGGGTCGACGTGTCTACTACTACGTAGTACTAGTACTACGTAGTACTTCGAAGTACATGTCTATGCGCTCTCATAAAATGAATCCCAGATCGCAATGTCTTTGCAAAGCATAACAATGCTAACGTTCAAACTACGGTAACAACATCCCTGTTTATTTGGCTTCCCAATATAATAACAAGGCCAACGATTTATCGGTTTACACCTTGACAGTCAGAAAGTGAGAATATAAACTGGTTCGGTATTGGGGCAAAAAAGACTCACCATAATCCCCCAATGCCAGTCGTTCGTCTTTGTGGCGTGATGGCCGAAGGATCAGCAAACATATTACCGGTGTAGTCCAAATAATTGCGCATTGTTAGTATTTTATGTACTAATACTGGACGATCATATATCCATAACAATCAACAATTGGTGTGTTCGAGAATGAACCCTTCTGGAACACACCAATTCTCGTGAACATTTCATTCCACAACACACCAATTGTTATTAACGTTATTACTACGTAGTAATATATTAGTGTAACGTTGTTATATGGCCGGGACGAACTTCGATCGAAGGGGTTTATTTTTCTCACGGAATGCCGGAGAAACGCACTTGAACTTTGTATCGGTGGTGGCCACGGACACTCGAATTGGTTTAAACCTCGCACGTTTTTAGACTTTAACGTTGAATGCGTGGATTTCCTGGACGATTTGGCGATGGGACATGCCAAGATCGAGTCCCAATTGTACGTTTAAACGCGTTTTACAATACGTCCGGGCCGGCGTAGTCATACAAAAAGCAAGTGTTGCAATTCGCCAAATTCTGGACACTGATGCCGTACGCTGATTGGTCGGCTCAAAGTTCCGCCTCGCGGAGATCACTTTCGAATTCTTCCGTCCACGTCGATATGACTGATATCCGCGCCGCCGCCGCCATCCTCACTCCAATGTCGTCGCACTACATGGGCTCTCCCTCGTACTCGCTTCCCCTGCAGATGAACGTAGACGACGACGAAGATCGCCCGAGCTACTACGAGCGCAACCGCGACCAAGTGCGGGAGAACCAACGCTTGTACCGCGAAAGCAATCGCGACAAGATTCGAGCGATCCACAAGGCGTATTATTTGAAGAACCGCGCCAAAATCACAGCGTACAAACGCGAACGATGGCATCAGAAGAAGTCTCGAACGCCCGGCAAAGAACACCGCAGCCGCAGCGAGGACTCGTCGAGCAGCTTCAACGACGCGGTCCCGTCACGCCCGTGTTCCTCCTCCACCACGCCGTCTGCGTTTCCGCGTTCGTCTGCACGCATGCCACTGCATATGCTCTTGAACCCCGTTCCATCGGACGAATGACAATGGAGTACCACTAGGACATAATTTAATCGGCATTAAGATGGCGTGTGTATTTCTCTTGTTTCAATGATCCCAGCTGAGCTTAGTTGAGGCACATTCATATCCACATCAGGACCACCAACCAGCGCCGCCATCATGAACTCTCGGCGGCGACGTCCCGAATGCTGGATGCTTGAAGTACCACAAGCAGCTGTTCGAAGTTCTACCACGAAGCTTCGAGTCAGGAGCACATGGCACTCGGACCAGGATCTGAAATATTTGGTGCTCTTTCAACCCCACGACTACTGATAGTAGTTCGTGCCCCTACAACTTGATGCCACTGTGCTGAGCCCAACCAACGGGAGTTTTCGTGTTGTTCTGTGGGGTATACATATATATATATATAAATATATGTATCGTGTTACAGTCGGTACTTTCATAGGATGCGTTGGATGACTCCGGCGTAGACGAAATGCTGGAGATATCTGTCGAATTGAATCAACCAATCCCAGCCCTCCAAAACAGATAATCAAATCATTTCCACCAATCATGTGTCAAGCATGAGTCATACTCCGGAGTAGTACTATATAAGGAAGGTGTTATGCATCAATGTTGACACGGCCCCAAATTGTGAGCCTGTCTGACTTTTAGCCAATAGTATCTCGATATTTCATAGTTGCCTTGTATGATTGGATATCATAATATTCGTCTCTTTATTTTATTACACGTCTCAATGTTGACAGCCTGTTCAGTCTCAAACAAAAAACTACAAGTATTTAAATAAAATGTCAACGAGAAACCCTTGAAGCTGTCCCTCCATACAGGCCTACGAGGGCGTATAGCTCTGTGATACATGGAAGTACTCACTTTCGAGCCATCGCAACCATAGACGAAGAAGGAGCAGCGTATCACTCCTCGCAACGAATGGATAGCCTTCACTGTGTCGCTACTGTTGTCATTCACAGCTGTGACTTAAAATGTGATTGCATACTTTTTACGCTGACTCATAAGCATTAAAATAGTCGTTCTCGAGCTACCAGTACTGTACTGGGATTTATGGCCAAAACTTGACCAAAAGCAGTGTCAATAATTGATGCATTACCTTACAGTTAATAGCATACAGGTATTGGATATACATTGTACTCCACGAACGAACCCCAGGAGCAAAGAATATGTTGGTGTCCTTGCGATTTTTACCACCGGTATTGTACTTCGTAGTACTTACTACCTCTTTTAACCAGTGTTGCATCCACACATATATATTAGTGTTATTTGTAGATATCATTGATTTTATAATATATTGGGGTTGTAGCTCACATGGTAGAGCGCCCGCTTCGCATGCGGGAGGTACAGGGATCGATACCCTGCTGCTCCAACGTTTTTACATTTCCAAGTTTCTCATTGCCCATGTTCCCTGCTGTAGATAACGTTTCTGCAGTCTTACCCGTAGTGTATTCTCGTGGTCATCCGTCTCGCCTTGTGTAGCAACCTTGGAATGTGTTCCATGGCTATAATACCATTCTAAAGGTAACAGGAGTACAGTAATAGCACAGGGAGAGGACGGGTTAGCAGTGGGGCTGAAACGGTCCGATGGAAAAAATCCAATCGGCGGTTGCCACCACAACCTGGTCACTCACACTTGTGAAACGATCGCTCAAGGGGCGAGTGCAAGGTGACGTCACTTTGCATTCCACGCAACACCACAAACATGCACCCAAGTCGTGGTGGTCTTGCGCTGTTGATGGTACTAGCTGGCCTGCCTCCCATGCTGCATGCCATCCACCATGGTCAACGTGAACAAGGTGCTGGGTCGTTGGAGGTCATGGTCATCCCTGGCGAAAGCGTGCAGGACCGGGCACTTCCACATGCCCGTGCATCAATTGACTTGTTTGAGCCCTCGGACGATTGGAAGGAGATTGGCCCAGATCAACAACTGCCAGGGGTCAGCATTCCCTCCCTTTCTATTTCATACATGCGTACTAGTAGTAACCTGACGATCTTGCGTTGTTGTTGAATTGTTACTGCTTGCGGTATACATAGGGACTATGGATTCGAATCAACCTCTCAACAGGCAAGAAAGAAGCCCGAAACTTGCCAACGTAACGTCCGTCACAGCTGTCGACCAAGACACGGACATTCAAACACGACTTCATTGGAATCACTGTGATTATTACTTCAAAGTCCTCTCGTACAACAACCACGTGGCTTGATTGGAATACCACCGAACGAACGTTACATTATAAAGTTAGTATAAAGATACCATGTCACAGGTCGACGGACAATTCGTCGTGCACGTCCTGGGGCGAGTAGTCACGGGGGGTACACTCGTCGATCGGGTTGAGTAAATATTGCATCGACATCATTGACGACGTGGTTGCTTGAGTCATGTGAAGGATCAGCTGGGCTGCCGCCGTGGCGTCGTCGTTGTCCTCTACCGCCCGCTGCTGGGACTCGCACTGATGACAATACGATTGGGATGTGCACTGGGACTGCGTCGAAGCTGCCCGCTTTGCCTTGGTCTTGAGGTAGTACGCTTTCATTTGGGCCAGCTTTTTCTCTCGATGCTGGGCATGGTGGGCTTTGGCGCGCTGGATTTTCTTGTCCTTCTGGGCCGCGTACGTGCGTTTGTGGTTAACACGGGCATATTCGAGCAACGTCTCGCGGTGCTGCTGGTAATACGCTTGGAAATACGCCTTGTTCTTGTTGTAATAGGCACTATTTTTCAACGGTGGCGAAGGGACGGCGGGGGTACTTTTGGTGGAAGACATGATACGCGATGGGGGATAAGATGAAAAGTGCCGAGAGGAGGGCACATTGGGCTTGCCGCCGCCGGATTGACATGTCATTGAAAGAAATATGACTTGGAGCCGCCGTCGGATATTTCCTGATTGGCTACACGGAATATGCCCCCGCCGTCGGAAAAGTCAAATGAAATCATCCAATGAGACATATCATCGTGCACCCACTGGAAATCTCAGAAATTCTGACTGGACAAAATTGTTCCTGACTTCCGTCCGACCCCCAGAGACTCTACTGCGCTTGGATTGGCCACTGCCCCAACTGTGAACAATACCAATGGGTGCCTCTGGTAACCAGAAATATTGCAATATTCAGGCCCAAAGCGCCATTTTAGGGATGAATTCAACAAATCTTATCAAAATTGAAAGATGCTACTCGTAGACGAGGTCCAAAACACCATATTACAAAATGGACCTTTTACCTCCATTTTGAAAATGGCATTTTGGTTAATCCCATTTTGTCACAATGGAATATTATTTTGAAATGTTACCAGACGTACCCTATACTACTGTACTAAATTTTCCTCCCATTTTCGAACAGCCTATTTCGGATAATTTTCTATAAACCAGAGACGCTACTGCGCTCGGATTTGCCACTGCCCCAACTGTGAACTACCTATACTACTAATTTTCCTCCCATTTTGGAACAGCCTATTTTTATAAACTAATAATATAAGAAATCGAAGTTTCTTCATGGTCGTCTCATCATAAATTTACTACAGTCGTCCCCAAAGGTAACAAGTTCGACCCCAACTTCATCTTGGACAGCCCCGTGCGCAGGTTTTGGCCAGGGCAAAACTCACAATACGTTACCGTATTAACTGCAAATTCGACAGGTTGACTTTCAAACGAAAATAGAATACTTTTGGCAGTTAACAAAAAATAAACAGGTGTTTCCATTTTGTAAACTGACACGATTGATGTACTTTCATGGCCAATTTTGACTCTATTTGAGCGTATTTTCATTCCACAATCTAGGAGCGTAATCTCAACGTTGCGCCCTGTTAAACAAGCCAAAGCGATATGAAATTCCAGGTTAACGTTAGTTTTTTTAGGTTGAAGGTTGACGAAACCGACGAAACTTCAATGTTCGAGTTGTGATTTCACGTGAACCTACACGAAGTTCATGAATCTGATTACATATTCGTTGAAAACTTGGTGAGGGGTCTACCGTATGGATAAAATAATTGGAAGGATTTCTGTTAGGTAGGTTTTTTTAGGTCAAAGTATTGAATTTTCAGTGCTAATGTTCTTTTGAATGGAACTGATAACGTCAGCAACAGTGGAACAGTTGCTCTCGGGGAAATATTTCCAAACGCCATTTTGATCCAACACGATGTGGATCTCATAAAGGAGGCATTCTCTATTCCCTCATTTGATCATTTGACGACAACACTCAAATGACACTGGTACTACGTCTTGCATGAGTGGTGTTGGCTAATGTGAATTTTTCTAATTTGCAGCACTCACAGCCACTTGAAATTTCAAATCCCCTGGTAACATTATTGAATGATTTCATTGGAATAATCACCAATTGCAAAATCGCGCTAACTTACTATACTGTACAGTGGCTCACAAAAGTCGTCATACACTGAACAATTCAAAACTTAACACGTAAAGCAAGTTAATATTATCATGAAATTTCAGAAAATATTGTAAGCATGGTGTGCCAAGACAGGTTATCGAGACGAATTCATTGGATTCCTTCGTAGATGTACACTTTTCAAAATGGGGTGCGTGACCCCATTTCATCTCATTTCCCCCAACCCATTGCCGCGCCAAACTACTGGCTGAAATTATCGAATCACCAGCCAATTACAGAGTCCGGACGCGATGAACGCCGCGCGGAGACGGCTGTACTGGCGGTCGGCGAGTTTGCATGCTTGCCATGCTTCCGACGATACATCTTTATTGATCCTACGCATCCTGCACATCTCTGAGGTTGAATATTGAGTGTCGACATTAACACAGATAACCACAGTGCGGGAGTGCTGTCACCAGCTCATACGTGTGGACGGGCCACTGGCGTTGCTGAAGTAGTGACTAGAGATCTGACGATCGATCCCGTTGGCTGTTAAGCGCGACGACGGACTGGACCTTGGCCACGAGAGCCAGTGAAAGCCCTTGGCTATGTTGACCAATCACTTTGCATTTTCTGGACACGATTTATGTCCAATGAATCATGGCCGTAAAATGGCACCATAATGGGAAGAAGTATTGTATCACCCTATTATTCGCGATTTTCGAATTCTACTTGGAACAGGCTTACGAATTCCATAAATAATTCTGAATTTGTATAGTTTCAATTAAATATATCTTCAAGTTTGTATTCTTGATTTTTATTTTACATGTGTCTGTCTGTTTTTGGAATTCGCAAGGTGAACTGTCTGCAGAATTCAAAATTGTCCAATCTGGTGTGAAACACGAAAATCGTTGCGTAGATTCATCACACCCTGGTGCGATACATTCTACTCCTGTGATGGCGGTTGATGCAAGGAGCAGTAAGATAATTATGTAGGCTGTGTACGAGAGCAAGATCATGTGATGTGGTATTCAGGACTCGGTCAATTCTAACAGGTCAAAACTTCAGTCACATAATCATACTACATATTATAGTAGTACTTCTAGTATTAATAGTAATACTATGTAAACCCCGAAACCCCGAAATAGTATTAATATTTATTATGCCTCAATTGTTTACGTATATTTTAATAACCTTTGGTGTTGTATGCTACAAGCATACATATTCAGAGGTATTGTGCTTTTCCAACTTGGGGCTCAGTGATTGGCTTGCTTTATATATGCCAATAATCGGCATTTTACGTTATTGGAGAACTGCACTACAGTCGACAGGCGACTACAGTACGACGTCTACCGGAACTGCAGTCCCCCCCGTACACGCCTATGCTTGTCTAGGGGACAACGCCCAAGTGTCGGTGGTGATAAAAGAATGCTGCTAAGTTGAGCCGTCCCCGTTCAAATTGAATCAACGACCACATATATACTACTGTTGTATTGATCATTTACAATAAGTACATACACCTTCAGTCGCGATGCAGCAGGAAGGTCAGGTGCATCTTGTCGAGCGGTCGGGTTTCGGTTGTGTCATCGTCGACAGAGGATATTTCCATACCTTCGGAAAGACATTGCGTCGTGTTGTTGAAGCCAATTTCATCGTGGGTGGCTGCTCGCGCTGCCTTGAGGCGTTGGCGGCGGTCCCGCTGGTAGGCGTTGATTTTGTCCCGATTTCGCTGCTGGTACTCTTTGTGTTGGGCGGAAATACTGACTTGGTTCCGAGCCTTATAGGCCTTCCTTCGCAAAAGCACGTGGTCGCGGTGCTTGCGATGGTACTTTTGCTGGTGTAGGGCGATCCGGTCCTTATTCTTTTCGTAGTACTCTTTTCGATACGAAGATGTGAACATGACGGGGAAGCGCAAATGTTCAAAAATGACAATGGTTTTCGCAATCGTGGGTGTTAACACTTTAGCACATGTTATATTTGTTGTTCGGGTCGTGAATTAAATCAGGTGCAGTTTGCGCGCTGCACGCTACGTAACGCGAACAGTTGGAAAACTAAGGACGCCTGCTTTGACGGCGCCGCGCAACCGCCACGCCGCCACCGTCAGTCCACTCTACGATGCGGAGCCCCAGAACCACTTAGGTGTACGCGAGCATTATTTAAAAGAATAATGCACCGTTCATCACACACACAGTTGGAAAATACCGATGATGAACGTCCTCTTGATAGCCACCTTGCTTTCAATCTGAAGGGCATGAAAGCAGGGCAATGATTGTAATTCCCGATTAAAACTGTCCCACTGTTGTTTAAGGGAATTATGCCATCCAGATACACTTTACTAGCCGACTCGGTCCTATCCCCGGTGAGTAGATATACTGCTAAATCCACGGGGCTCACTGCATCACCAGTGGCTAGCTATCGATAACCACCGAGATGCGTTTCATCCCTAGAAAGTGGTGACGTGTACAGAGTCTACTAAATACTACGTAGTACAATTTTTGAGAAAAGGAACAGTGGAACTATTTAAATCGGGGAATCTTATACCATTGAAAGCACGAAGGATATACAAATACTACAGTACCGAACTCCAATATTTCATTCAAAATTATATTACGTTTTGCGAGTTTTCCCCACCCGAAACCGGTTTTTCGCGATTTCCCGTAGCCTCCTGCGAGATTTCCTCGTCCTTCTCGCTTTCCTGGTGCGGGTGCATATTTTCGCCGAGAAAAGACCTTTGTGTTTGGTATATTCTTGATATCGTTATTCCTCAAAATAATCGGAGACCACTACTTTAGTACTTCTTGATATTATTCCTGAAATCTACAGTAGTGTCCGGATAACTTCACTTGTCAAATTAATCGGAGAGCACTTTTCAAGGGTACATACAGTAGGCCCCTAAACCAGAAAATAATGAAACAATTAAATACGCATATGTTTATTACAGTTTTATTGGCCAATTCACCAGACACATCAATCCGAGTTCACAACTGTGAAATTTGTGAGCAATGGCCAAATTTCCAAAACACCGTCCAAAATAGTCAGACAGTGCCACAATGACAAATTCATTGGATGAAACGCAAGCCACGTGAATAATAAGAATGGTAGACGTCACCTAAAACCGCAGATTATGATTGGCCCCCGCCAATTCGTCCAAGGCGCGAAAACTCAAATCATAAATACAATCCTCCTTCACTTTCACTTGTTCACCATGGTTCTCAATGTTTCCGCGATGCTCACACGCTTGGAAGACCAAGCAACCTCCGACCGTGTCTTCCTCGAGCAGTGCCTCGATGA